ATTATAAATTTCACAGCGATGCGATAACTGAAAAGTAGCAGGATTGCTCGAAGAAATTGCACGCGTTAATTAGTGTTTTTCAAGTGCAACAAGCAACTAGCGCGCATAATTCTTGTCCGGGTAGTAATTTCGAGCAACGTATAAAAAGTAACGCGACTCCCGATGCGTAATACGATAGCTCAAAATTGCAGTCCGAATTATAAAATGAAATGCACTCGAGCGAGTAGATCATTCGAATAATAGCTACGAAGGAGCCATCTGTTATTCAAATAAAATTCTACCTTCGCAGACAGGACGCGGATAATTGGCTCGAATTAGTAGCTCCGATGAACGCTGCGGAAATGGAAATGCACAGGAAAAAAAAAGCGAGAGTATGGGATAGAGATGTCCACTCTCTCGATATATTCGCAGTCACGAGTTGACGGCGCGACAAATTGGCTGAGCGTGTTCGTGAAACGCCGTCTGTATTATGCGAAATCCACGGTGGAACTCGCTGTGCATTATAGAGAACTTCCCGCCTCTTTCTCTTGCTTTCTGCTTTTTTCCCACCTCCCCCCCCTATCCAGTTTCCTTCTTGCTCGTTGTTAGCTAAGGTTTTCGCGGAACGAGTTCCAGAATCGCGGGAATATATTGTGCCCTCCTTCGAGCATCGTTTTACCCCTTTTGCCCGCCAACTTGCCAGACAGCGCGAAAAGGTACCGGCCGAGTTCCTTTACTCATTATTCAACGGCGACGTCGATTCGAATTTTCCACGGAAACTCGCTGGTAATTGCATCCCCGCGTTCGCGATGAAACGGAAATAAGAATCTCGGTCTATCGATCAGCGGTGAACATTATACACGCGAAACATTGGGACAGACCTGGACAAGAAGACAGAAGAAGAACGTGACGCAAGTTGGACAATCTAAATTATTAATTACATTTTTGAAGGATGCATTAGCACTGACAAACTTGGCTCTAGAATTACTCGATTGTTAAGATATTTTTCGAAATAGGGAACTAATTATATCGATACAATGATTTTCTCTCCTCTAATTTCAAACGTTCACTGTTGTTCATTGTAGTGTCAATTATACATTGTATATTCTTAGGTAGTTGTGAAACACTTCGGCAGCTACGTACACTCTTTTTTTTTAGGCATCGTTACCCTGAAGTGCCTGTTATATTTTTTTTTTAGTTAACACATTAGGCAAGTTGACTCTCAGCGTCCTCCAATTTTAGATTACCTTTATATCTTGTCGAGCGCCATGTTCCACTACTTTAGAATTTGAGTCGAACATGAAAACCACGAGTCATGTACGTCGTAAGGAATTTTTTACCTGACTATGACATCCACGATCCTACAGTAAATCGTAGACCAAAGGGTTAATCCACAACTAAAATTCCAATTCCATTTAATTCCACATAAACAGGTATTCAATTTCTATTCCTCGTTTGAAATTTGTATCCAAGTTTTCTTCGACTTGTCAAAAGAAAAAAAAAAGAAAAAAATGGCGCAAGCGTCCTTGAGGTCGTCGTCAACTTGGTCTCAGGTTGGCAGAGTAGAGCAATCCTCGATACGGATGACATTCGATCCGTAACCCAATCGACCCACGGATCGACCGCTTCCGTTATCCGCGCACGCGACAAGAGGCGCCTACGCGGTCTCGCGAATTCGCTAAATGGATTTCTAGCCTGGTCAGACAGGAAACGTAAATTTCTCTCGATGCGCGGCCCTCTGTCCGCGCCATGGAATTAAAGGCCCCTGTCGCGGCGTCTGGCTCGAGAACCTGTCCGTAAATACCACCGGATCAACGATTTATGTGGGCTCCGGGATTGCGCAACGCCTAATCGATGCGATAGTTACTCCAGACACAGATTCAGGCGCCCCTCGTGCTCACCATTTCTTTCGCCTTGGGTCACTCGACTCTCATTTTCACTTTAATCCATTTTACTACTTTATTGTGACAGGTTACTATTTTACTATCCTATTTTACGGTCTCGGTTTCGTTTTACTCTGGTTTGCTGTTTTATTATCTTGGTACAGTGTCTCATTTTACATTTTACTCTGTTTTAGTATGTTACCATGGTATCTCGTTAGTCGCTACATTTTATGTTATATATGCTTCTAGCGTATTACTGTTATTTTTATACACGTCAGTTTTGAAAGACTAACAAGTATGTCAATATATAAACATAAGTATTGATTGTGCAAGAATGTACATATTGCACGACACAATATCCAAAGATATGAAAATATGAATGCTCGTCAGATTAAATTCTGAAAAATCCCTCGTTTGTAATCTTTTCGGAGCTAATCGTATCTGACTGTTTATCAACGAGCCCACTGTCCTAATTCAGGTGTCCCTGACCCGCATACGAGTCGCACCTTCGACCCAAGAGGTTCATGGCACAGATGACGAACTTGAATCGTTCTCGCACTGTGAACGTTTGATTCCAGCCTCACCCAACCCTAACGCAACGAAAAGTCAACACGAAGGAGGGGTTATCGTTCCGTTTCGGTGTCTGTTTACGCTTCGGTTCACGCGATGATCACGACGAGGAAACGGCCGAAGCGTGTTCGGCCAAGCCGATTGGTTTTCGCGGCGTAACCGCTGCTCGCGCTTACTTCCCGCGGTCGTTTCGTCACGGACAGGAGTTTTACGGATCGAGTTTACGGCATTGTGGACTGTGGCACCCGATGTATGCCGTAACACGCGTTGCCTGGGACAACACGGACCTGTCTCGAGGGACAAAGAACGTTTTATCTCGAATCGTAACGATTCTTGAACGGCTCCAAGGCTTCCTGATAACGCGCAACCTCGTTGCACTCCGAAATTCGTAGGTGTAATAAAGGGCGATTCCCTCTTGAAACGAGAGCCACGTTAAACTTCGAATTACGCTGACCCGACTGTTAGAAGGATTTGCTATCTGCAAACGAATGCCTCGTTTCGCCTTAATTCAGCGATTCTTCCTTTGAAGGTCACCCAAAGATTAATTGGGGGCTGGGAAACGAAGAAAAATGAAAAATGTACGTGGTCTCCTTTAATGGCGTTTACTGTATTTAATTAGGTACTTGGTCGTCGTACTAAGGGAAGTGAATACCTATATCGAGGTATCGAATGAAACTCGAAGACAATAGCGAATCGAATGACACAACTGTGCAGGTGTTGATACAAATTTTCTGAACGGTTCGATAGATAGAAGTCGAGCGTTTGAGTCTAGGCTTTAGATGGAAGACAGCCTTAATTAAAAGTAATTCTTTTAGTCAGCTCGTTGAAAACGATACAAAGTGGCACAATTGCGCCGGTATCGACAGCGCGCTGTTTTTTGGGAGCACTGTAAACAGACAAGAATTTGAAAGGGTTTTTAAAAATATTGAAAGCTTTCCAATCGATGCTCTTAACAGGTTCGCTGTTCCTGCTCTATCTCTAACGCGCTCACCAGCATCCGTGGTAACGATGATTTTCTATTTTCCGTTCGAGTAAACAAATGAAGCAGGAATTATAAGCCAGTGTCACATTACGCGTGACACACTATTCGGTTGGCCTATTTGATACTTTTTGTTTGTACGTAGATAAAGCGTTCGTTACGTTAACACGCTCGCTATGACGCGGGATATAAATACTCCCGTATCGTGATTTCGTTCCAAGAAACTATTCAAATATATTTCACTTTCAAACCGGATACCAGTCTTTTTTTGTGAGTCCAAGATTGTTTTACGAATCACAGAATATTCAACATAAAATTTTACACTTTACGAAGTAATCGAGGATAAATGATAAGAAATTGTAGCAAAGGATCGAGTTCCTAAGTCCACCATTCTGACTTCCTACAGTCTGCATGTTTCCACTGTTCTTTGAATCGACTAATTGTGATTAACCATTCCACCGAGATTTTTACCGAGGAACTGTAACGATTTATTTTAAAGGCTCAGCATTAATGAAAACAAATCTGGATAGAGTTCGTAAATTTTTGATAAGAATACAAATATAAATGTTAGATCGTATAGTTTTCGATTGTCTCGAGACAGAATTTCAGCCCTGTAGATATTTCCACGTGAATCAATCTGACAGTCAACGTGTTAATCCAACGAATCCAACGTGTTTACATTGTTCGTTTATAAATAGCTCCTTTCGTGCAGCTGTAAAATAGGCCCTCCGCTAATAGCAATACTCGAGTAATGATATTCAAATACTCGAATATTCGCAGCGTTCACGAATCCCCCATAGAGAATTCGAATAGTCGCAGCTCTAGTGCGTAAATACCTGTGTCGGTTCTGCGCAATAAATATTCGTGAGAAGGGGCGTCGAAGCAGGTGGGGGGAGGACAGCGCGCCTTACCTGCCTGCCAACGTTGTCTGGCCGCCGATTTGCGTAAACGCGTTCTAATTTATGGAGGTTCCTACACCGCGAACCGCCCTCGCAATTTACGCGGGAACCCCCTGCGTGGTCGTCGAGATTAGACTCTACCCCTCGTCTTCCGTTTTTATTTTGACAACCCTTACTTGCGCCCGCTTTATTTCTTCGCGCCTGTCACGTGTGGCTAGACCAAAGATATGCGAAATTATCCAGATAAAAATGTCTAAATCGACCATGATCTGATCGAGGTTTGCAAGGACCAGCGGTGCATTTTTTCCTTCGACCCCTTGACCTACGCTTTACCTCCCTTGCTCGGGTCATAGTATACAGGACGGGAGGAAGTCCGAACGAAGCATCACAAGTCTCGGTCATGGTTGTAGGCCAAAAGGTTAAGGGTGTAGGTACACCGACAGACCAAAGATGTATACGATTTTTAAGCAGCAGTAGCAAAGAAAGTAAACAGTCGATTAATATAAGGTTTTGTATTTTGTTTTGGTATTATATGAACTAAAAAAGTTCTTGTAATGTCGCTGAAGTTCAGTGATCGAATTTTGACCACTGTCGCTGTCGTTTATATTTTGAAATATATTTCCGTTTCTAAAGGATCATGGAGTGGTAAGGGCTGGCCAAGAGGCTCGATAAAAATTCTATCATACATACCTCTCCGTCGTCTTTACAGTCGCAAGTTAGTCTGCCATGATGGTCGCAGAAGCACGGGGGGTAGTCGCACCTGTTCGTCGAGTTGGTCAGGGCGCCGTTGAGTAAGTTGCTCCAAAGGAGTCCGAGGATAGCGCTTCCCAGCAGGAATTTCGCTGCTCCCATTTTGCGCCTAGCTCTTGATCCGCCCTCTTCTTCTTCTCTGGCAAGTCTCTTTCACCCCCTGTCTCTCGACGGCTTCACGCCCAGCCGGATGATTCTACACGGAGCCAAGCGCAGGGATGTTGTCCCGACATGTCTGCGACTTGGATTTCCGATGAATCCAATCACGCCACTCCGTGAGAACACCCCCCCGTCGACGAAATCCTTTTCCGCGCCGAAGACACTATTTACACAAACCCTTTTTCGTCGCACTGGCTGCAGAGAAACAAGTTTCCCGTGTTCCCCGACACGCCGCGCGGCACTACGTGATTCTGTCGATCATATTGTCGTCACTATCGCGACACTCTCGCGTGGAATTCTCGTGGCTGCATCCAGTACGCTCGTGCACGCTCCCAAGACCCCGTAACGTTCGACTACGACGTCATCGTCGTCGTCGTTATTCTTCTTCGTTCGAGCGGAAACGTCCAATTATATCCATGGTGGCTCGCGTCACCGTCGAACATCACGTACAGCTTTTCGGATTTCTCTGTTTCCTGGTTGGCTGTTGCACCGCGTAAGCCTCTGCGCTGGAACGACAGGAAAAAACGGTCAGATTTACGCGGACACACGACCGAAAAGAGGACAGCTTAACGATTTCTTTATTCTCGCTGGGGATATTTCTCGACGCGACGACTGGTCTGATAAATCGAGCCACTTCATCGCGGGGCAACCCTTATCGTTCGGTGATGTATCTACTTCGTACGAATCTTTTCTACCTTTTATCCGTCATTTCCGCGATTATTGCTCCGCGAGGGGAAAAGAAGAATGTTCATTGTTAGGCGGTGAATCACGGTGGCGATGGAAAATCCTCGTGATCTCGTTGCGACGACAGCGCTTGTAATCTCTCGCGACAATAGCCTCCCTACGCGATTCTGTGTACTCTGGCATGACTAATTATGAACGTTTCGCTACATTCCTGCGCTATCGGGGACTTTGTCGCGTCGTTTATCGAACGTAACAGAGAACAATCGATCCACTTAATTCACGACGATACGGGGAAGAGCCTCGTCGATGGTTGCGAACGATACCGAGTGATTTCTGTTAAAAGAATCGGTGGAGATTGGACGCACTCCCGGCGTTTGCGTTTGGTGGTGTACATAGGGGACGTAGGAGCGTATTGTTCGAGGACGACGTGTAGATTATCTTTGATTCTTATAAAACGGGTGGACATTGGAAGACGATAGATGTGTACTTTTTTGGTTGATATTTTTCAGGTCTATCTTCAGATTGTTTGATGATAGTTAAATATAAATACCGAAACAGTAATGGAAATATTGCAAGCATTTCTTAAATCGACCAAGAATTACAGAGGGTAGTTCACCAAAGTTAGTTTAATTAAAGTGTCAATGTCACTAAATTGTCATTCTTCTAAACATTATCCCTCGACACTTGCTAACCAAGATCTATACGATAGTTTCAACCAAACATTTCTATCCATCTCCTTCGCATTTTAATATTTTCAATGAACATTCATTCACAAGGCTACCGAGTTCAATCTTCTTTATCCGCGCCCACTCACTTATCCGCACTCGTATCACTACTTCAGGGATCTTATTAAACTTTTCGAGCTACACGCATCCGTCCCGACCGCGCACAAGTTTACCCGCTGCTGCAATTCCTGTGTTCGAAAGGCACGACACGTGTACACGGTCTTCGAGTTCGAGCACACGATACACTTCTCCAAGTTAAACACTTTGCCCTTCGGGGAACGACCACGGTTGCACGGTTACAGAGCAACTCTCGATTGCCCGAGCAGCACCCGAAGCGGACTAAATCGCATTGTGCGTTCCAACCGAGTAATAGGAGCCTTATCGACCCCCGGGAGCGTATATTTCATCATCCTGCGCTTTCTTAGCCGCGGATCGCAAATGCAAATCCGTTGTTACGTCTTCCAGTCGCAGTCGTGCAATTTAGAGAGATCAAACTGTCGGGAATTCGTCTTTTCTACGACCTCATCTGCAAGTGTGTAGTTTTATTTAGAATGGTGTAGAAAATTTCATCTTAAAACTTCACTGTAAAATATCTCAATGGAACCTCGATGAACATCAAAGGCACTCTGTAATCCAAGTTAATTGTCCTTGACCAGATAACAAGTTTCTGACGCGTTTGGAACAGTCTCCTTCTAATCTTTTTGTCGCGTTAATCGCAGAAAAAAAAAAAAAGAGAGCGGACGAAGAGAACAATTTTGCAATAAATTTCTCGCGACATGTCCCCCGGGGAACGGTTATGAATTCCAACGTCACTCGTGTCCAGTTTTTCAATTAAAATTGCACACGGTATGAATCGATCAGGCAAGAGTGCACTTGAGCGTCGCGTAAAATGCAACGATGCAACGCGTACGTTATCGGTCGCGGCACCGGCGTCGCGAATCACCTCGGAGTTCCCTTATCTCTGGCTCCTTTATGAAACGTTCGTTCATTAAACCGCAATTTCGCGGCATTCTCGGCCGTGCCGCGCGAACGCACGTGTCGTCGACTTTTTTTACAAGCATCGCGTGCCCCGACAATGCGGTCGCCTATTAAATATTGCAGTGTTTAACCAACGACGCTCGTCGAGGGAAAAAAATGACCGTTGGCAGTTCTTTGCCGCGGGAACACAGAGGCCAGAGGTTCGTTCGTTTCGTGTTCTCGATGCACTTCAGATTCGAGCGATTCTGGCTTTATTTGCTTCGATAATTAACTGGTCGAGACTTGGTTTTGCGGGCGTCTTAATAACGACAGGTTTAGAATTCAAATTGGTCGCCGCACTATATTGGTACGTCGGAGTGCAGACGTACTCTTGAGAAACCTTCTTGTCCAGAATCATAGAAGGAATTCGAATTAACACGTTCGAAGTAACGCCCAGAAATGGGTGACAGGATTTTTCGTTAAAGAACTACAAAAATTAATTCCAAAGATGAGGTAATAATGAAGGTAAACCTTGATAGGTTTCGTGAATTTGGCGACGTTAAAAAATTCTACGCAATAACAAATGTTAAATTATCTGATCTTCAATAGTCTCCAGACATAATTTTAACTTTGTAATAATTTTCACGAGTTTTAACTTGGCAGCCAACGTGTTAAAATCGAATTCGTAGAAGTGGAGAATTAATCGTGTCGAGCGCAATTTTCCAGTTGTACGTCATGAAGCATTGTCGAGATCACCTCTTGCCTTCTCGTTAGATGTGCAATAAAGTAGACTATCTAAAGACACGCATCGGAACACGATCTTTATCGTATCGAGGTGGAAGAAGCGCGATCGAGAACGTTACGAGCGACGAAGGAACTTCGACGAGCTGTTCCCCGCGATTTTAGCGAATTAAGTTTCCATTGGTCGCATCGGAGGGGAAGAGATGAGGATGGGTGGAGGAGGGAAAGAGAAAAAGCGCATCAATGGTGAAAAGAGTGTCGAGCGTGAATGAAAGCCGGCCCAATTCGAGAGGGACTCGAGAAGAATTTTTCCCGGCGCCCGACTTCTTCCCAACGCGTTGCTCTTAATTTCTTCCGGTCTTTTCTCTCCCTCCCCTCCCCCTCGTCGCTTTTGGCGATATCAAAAACTCGACGAACGAGCAGTGTCGCTCGTTGATTAATCTAACGAGCACAACTCCCTCCTCCTTTCGATTGTGTCACTTCGAGGAATTAAAAGATTTTAACGCGTCATTACGCCGCCTGACAAGATCTTCGTTAGCGTCTGTCACTGACTGATAATAAACGTAATCGTATTTATGCGCGTCGAGGCGAGGGAAGGCGACGAGCTCTGCGCGCGAGGATACAATTTTCCGCTCGATTCATTCGTCGCGAGGCTTCTTTGACACCTCGAGAGAACGAATGTTTTCATTCCTTTCTGTAATTATTTTAAGGGGTAGGTGAGAAGAATCGAACTGAATTATGAAGAAGAGCTTAGGATTCATGGTCCTATTCAGGAAAGAAGCGCCGACTCGATGGATCGTTATAAGGTAGTCGATGAGTGGCACGGGTATTGTTTGGTAACTTTCGCGTGGATGTCCAGAGTCAAAGTCAGAATCGGAGTCAGAGTCAGAGATTGTTTGGTAACTGTCGCGTGGATGTTCCCACTATTCCCTCTAGCTTCTAGCTTGAAGTGCACAATTGATTTGTACTGTAAGCTTTATTCTATCTATAAATGAAAATAATTCAACATCTTCCAATTTATGACAGCTATACTTGAATAGATGACGACTGTAAATCAAGTTTTTTCATCGATATTTTTGTTTGTGATATTTCGTGAACGACGTTCTGCGCAGCTCTTTTATTTCGACAGAAATGACCATGTTCCACCTCTTCCACCAAAGTGAAGGAGTACTCGGAAAGCATTTTGTTAATTTCGTCACGAAAGGAAAACTTATCCTCATTTAAAATTCAGATGATGTGACGTGCTTGTATTTGCATTAAAATACATGAACTCCAAAGGTCTCGGCGAGCATTTGTTGAACGTTTTCGGAATATGTACCAACAAATTACTTTCCGGATCGATAGAAGGGAACAATCGCGTGTTTATCAATTTTCACTCCTGGATCGAGGACACTGTGTATTCGCTTACTTCCATTTATACATTGAGAAAATAATTTATTTATATCCTCGAGAATATATTCGCGAAACTCTCAATTTGAATAATTCCCCCCTTAATTTCATTCTTATTCAATTTCCATAGGTTGGGGGATTCATCGAAATAGTAACGCTTCAAAAAATCGTCTTTCACTGGTAACATTCTAGTAACGATAATCCGATAATAATATTCGAGTACTGAAACATTCGAAGTCATGGATTTTAATGGTCCTAGCCCTGTAGAGTCCAGAGCAGATGTTCCACGGGGATGATGACGCGGCAACGATGCAAAGCGGCAAGAAAAATGGCGTAACCGGTTTTATCTACCGAATCGATGCCCTTCCCGATCGCGTTTCCACCCGGAATTCGCATTTTTTCTCCGCGACCGATCAACACACCGGCCGCGCGATTGCGACCGACCGTGAGGGATTAATTGGCCACCGTGCGCACACCAGACGTCGGTTTCTGGGCGACACAGCTAGAACAACTAACGAACAAACGAACCACGACGAGGGGGAGAGGGTACAGAGTGCGACGTAGGTGCACACGTAACGAGAAAAACGAAACGGGACGGAGTCGATGGTTGGTAATCGATGGGCAACCCTAGCATCGAGTGGCCCGGATGACGGAGCGGGGGGGTTGCCCACCCGCAAAAGGATGGGGGCCAAAACGTACACAAATTATTCTACCTCGTCCGCCAGTGATTCGCGCGGTCCGCTGATTAAACATTTCGCTACGGTTGATTTACGCCTCGTTAATGGATATTCATATATTCGGATTCCGAGTTGTTGGCTGTCCTGAACTCGCCAGCACGCGTTCCACGCTTCGCTCGTTCCTTGACACGCGACTAACGCGAGACGCGCGAATGAATCGCTTCCCATTACGCGACTCTCCGTTCATTAGGGGAAAGATAAACAATTTTTCAGTGGTCACTGGCTGGGCGGAGATTAGAACTTGAGTTACTGTGTTGGAGTCATGGAACGATCGTGCAAAGTAGAAATGTTTCTATCCATTTGGAATGCTTTCAATCTCGTTATAGGTCTCCTAGGTATTTCGGAAATAATAAGTGGAAGCAATTCTGGGCTAAATTGCCTAATTCATAGTGGATTGAAGAAACCAATTGACAAACCAAGAGGAAACAAAGGAAACATAATTTGTCTCGATATTAAAACCTCGAAGAGTTCTACCAATCTACCATCCCCCTTATTTTTCTATCTTAACACATAAACCAACGATCAACATTCAGTGTCTGTCACATCCAAACCATCCAAGGACATTATTTGGCTCTCTTCGAAGTACACCTCCTTCTCAGAATACATTGCTACGGATGAGAATCCACCCCTACCTTCCTACCCTTTTGTTTCGTCTCTGCCTCCCGCGCACTTATCTTCCCCCTTCAAGGTTATCGGTCGCGACTTCTCCGAACGGCGAAGTAGTCGCAATTTCCAGACAGCGATAACAGTAAACGAGAGACCACCCTTTCCTTGGTCGTTTCAATCGGGAGCGGAGGGGGTCGAAAGTTTCTTACGCGAAGGATTAAGATCGGATATCTTCCGAGTCGAACTCCCCCCTGTAAGCTCGTGGGACAACGCTTAATCCCGCAATCACGGGCGAGTTTCTGTTCCGATACATTGGAGGCCGTTGGTTAATCGTTCGGAGAAAAAGGACGAGGGTGTTCCGAGACCAGACCACGAACGAAACGATTTATCGTACGATGAATCGGTCAACTGTGATCGATGCGGGTGTCCGAACGACAATTTCTTCTTGTCTTCGATCGTGGTCTTTTTATGTCGAAGGGATAATTGCATGTCGTTGTGTGTCAAATTCAGCGTAATCGATTTACAAAAAGTATCGCACCATGCATAAATAGCTAAACAAAAGGTGGGTCAGGTTTTAAATCATTTAACCGCAGAGTTAAAAAACGGTGGAAGTTGAACGTCATTCGTGCTACAAAAGAATTTACAAAAAATATCCTAGGAGTCTCCCTGTATATGATAATGGGATGAAGGTAGCCTAATTATTGTGAAGATTCCTTGTATCCATGGTTCTTTTAAAGGAATTCTAATTGAAGGAAATTCTAACTCGCCTTGGACGTTCTAAAAAGCTGAATTTTATCATTTCTCACTCAAACTGTTTTTTATCGTACGCCAGGTGACAACGAAATGGGATAGAATTGGGTTGAGACGATTATTTCGAGGATCCATGCACGGCGTGTTATCAGATTCCGATTAATACGCAATCCACCGCGAGCGCTACAACCGTCTCGAATACATTAATCCGCGATAAGTGGTTATTGTTCCGAAATTGACCCAGTTTAATTGTTCCCCGATTATTCGTATCGTGTCCCCTCTGCGGAAACAGATTTTCCATTCGGAGTATTGTTTGGAGAGAAGAGGAAAGAGAGAGAGAGAGAGCGAGAGAGACAGACGGGGGGATGATGATCGTTATTTTTATTCGCGCGCGAACCTGTCGAGAAATTATGCTCTTACACAAATCGTTACGCGCGATAAAGCGTGTGCATCGGGCAAAGTCAATTTACCGCGCCCGCGCATTTCACCTCGTGCAGAGATACTGGATTTCGAGGAGGAAAAAAAAGAATAGGAAAAACGGCTGCGAACTACTGTATAGGAGGCCATGGACGTAACGATTTTTTGCGAGATAATCTGTCCAACCATCGTCGATACGACTGGTTCAACGATACTTGTAATTTGCTAACTCCCATTTGCGACTCGATGAACGACTGTAACGGCATTTTATAAACTTTTTCCAATATGACTCTTTCACATCTGAAAATCGGTTTATCCGAGTCCCAACGAATTGTTGAATAAACAGAAAGCTGTGATGAATGGCACAAAAGAGTATATACGACTTAATTCTTGGATGGAAAATGTATTTTTTAAATCGAGTGGGAAACTTTATCTATGTTTTAAAAGCGGATTGCCCGTTAGTTTCTGGAATAGCATACGGACTTCGCTGGCTGAAGTCAAACTAACGAATGAATCAGGAATCAGAATCGGATATGAACAATTATAAATCAAACAAGAATTTCCAGCTACATATTTGAAGCGATCAATTTTCCTGGTAGTAGAGGATTCGTTCATCGATTTCAACATTACCACCCTGTCCATTTCGGAGTAGCTCTTTATACTAATACTACCAAAAGAAAAAAAATAAACTAGACCACTTTGTAAGCGACGTTTCAAAATTCATGAACTGCTTCCCAATTATTGGTTTTAAATTTCAAGTTAAATTAGCATTCACTGGTAACAAGAACCATCTAGCATAAAACGATAAAAACAAATTATTCCCAACCTCAAAAACTCTTTAAATTTATCTAAAATATACAGTTTTATTTTGCGATTCAAATCTACGACTAACGAATAACAAGAGCTAACGAGAGAGGTACTCTCTGCTCCAATTCCACGCTCGAAATTTCATCTAGACGAGAGTTGTGCTCGACTATCTTTGGCGAAAACGTCCCGTCGAGGATCGATCTCGAAGACGCACGATGGTCCGTGCAGCTGCCGAAGAAAAATGTTACTGGATCTCGTTTCCCGTGGATCGACAGCTGCGTGAATGCCGCTGCCGCGCGTCTGGCGCAAACAATTACGACAGCCTCCTCGTGACGCGTTATTGCTCCTGAGCGTATTCCTGACAGCGTGGCCGTGGAAAACGGAACGCGAAAAGAACACGAGGAGAGGCTCGACCGCGACAATGAACGGCTAATTTAATCGTAGCTGGAGCAGGTTTCACGAAGACGAGTCACGGCTGGACGGCAAAGAGGCACGCACCAGGCCACACGCACGTACGTGCCACGTGGGAAATCATGCGTTACAGCCAAGGATTATCCGACACCGATCTACCTAGGCCAGGATACACCTTTGGCGTGTCCCCTGGATCGGTAGTCTCCATTCTTTTCGCGACGTTGGTGGTCAGAGATAACGTCATGACTCGTGACGTGGCGATGAGAGAAAAGCGAAATCGTTATCTGGATACAAACGTGGAGGAACGGAAGATATACGATGAACTCGTATCAAGAATCCCTCTCTTCAAGGGAATAATCGGGCTTAACGTGCGATTGCTCGAAAGTCACATATGAATGGAATCTTGGTTTGCTTCCCTTTCTATTCTCACAGTATATTCCTTGCTTGGCGTTTATTGCATTCTACTTTCTATTTCTATATTAATTAGACACTTTGGTTCGAGTATACATTTTCAAAATGAATCTACAGATACGTATCCCTTGTGCAGAGGTTTCAACATTCGAAAATTAATGAATGGAAGACCATGTGGTCAAGCTCGAGGTTAAATCTCAAAAATAGAATGAAAATTCGGAACAATGTTATGTGTAGACTAACATGCCTAGACAGCCGTTAAACTAAGCTAAAATAATTTTGTATCGTAGCTCCTTATCTTTGTAATTCCTAGATAAACATTACGTTGATAAACGCTCCAATTTTAATCGAACAACCAACGACCTTAAAGCGATTCATCAACGATCCTACGTTCGGAAATTCGTTATCCGAACGGAAATTTCGCCGATCTCTGTCTCGGGACAGGCACACCCACTGTTTGCGTCGCCGGCGGGACAAAATCCGCGGCGTACCGTTGTTTACTGTCGCTATCACGTCGTGTGAACAGTTATGCAACGATCTCTCGAGGATGTTCCACGGCTGTCGTCGATGGAAGGTCGAACGGTCTCTTTCTCTCTTGAGCACGATAGATCGTGTCCTCGAGAGGAACGCAACCGCGAGATCGACGTCTCTGTGTAACCTTTGCATCGCGTGATTCAGCGAGTAAACTTTCCACTGTTACCCAGCTCCCGCGGGTCTATTGCACTTTCTATGTTATATATCCAAAAAAGATTCCCCCTTTCCTATTGTTTTTCCTTTTTTTTCTTTTATTTTTCATTTTAACTGGTTAAACGGACACTGTCGTCGATGTCCTCGCGGAGTGGCTCGTCAGAGGGGAAATTGTGAACGAGGGTAGGTCTCGCGGTTGTAAGAAGACTAGTACGCGAGATGAGCTTTACCTCGATATCTCGACTCGATATACTCGCGACGCGACGCCGACGACGCGCGAACAGCAACTGGCCGCCTTTCGAATTCGCGGCTGGTTTGCACCTCGCGTCGGTTATCGCGCGACACGAGTATCCCCACTACTCTCTTCCCCGCCGTCGATCAAAGATCCCAAATCCCCTCTCCGCGTTTCTCTCCGCCACTTGGTCTGTTGCTGCGACGGCAAACTGCATCCCCACCGTACAAGTGCAAGCTCCCTCCCTCGCGTGCTTTTCAGTCGGTTTTCCGCCGTCTTGGAACGCGTGTCTTGCTCCCAGAGGTCGGAGGACGGTGGTGTCCGTAGAAATTGCATTAAAAATTGCACTGTGCCATGCATATGTAATGCACCGAGAATTGTGACGACGTTAAATGGTTTTATCGCGGTAAATTATGTTTTCTGTAATGTATACGTGGATCATCGATGTCCGATGCAATGCAGACGGTTGTTCTTGCTCGTGTGATTAATGTCTTTCAGGTGATGCAATTTCTATGGGGACTACTGTGTACCATCTTATTTTACTTTCCGTTGTTGTCTCGGAAGAAAGAATTATTTGTTCCTCCGAGCCATACTGTTTTTCTGACAGATTTGTTTTTTTTTTTTTTTAAATCTGTACCCAGAGGTGTATTTAAGCCACCGATTATTAGAACGCGAATTTTCTGTGTCGAACGAATTTCAATTTGCTAAAGTCGATTATAAAAAATAACCGATGGTATCGAGGAAAAAGTGCCTGCATTTCATTTCGTTAGCTTATAATTACCAGCGAACAGAGAAATATAAATTGCCATGCTAATTTGTCGATTTATTATCCGAGCAATGCAAATTATATTCGTGCACGCATGTGACAAGCTGAACACGCGAATCGATTCTAACAAAACGAACAATCACACATACCAACTATGATTCATGGAATTGCACAAATTATCCTTCGTTATTCGACGTTTTCGATGAATATTTTACCTATACCTGAATTGTTCCTAAACTTTTCCCCATCCCTAAGCACAGAGGGCAAAGTTTCAGTGGGGCAACAAATTTATTTTTGTAACGACGCCCCGTTATCGGTTCTCGTATCTCCGTTCCATTTTTCCCGTCCACCGAATCGATTTGCCCTTGCACTTTTAACTTGCCCCCGCGACACGACGCTACGGATTTCGCCTCTCTAGTCCTAGATTGGCTGCAGTCTGTCGCGCGGGATATTTGCATGTAAACGCAGGTACGTAGGTCACGTATCGAGCTATGCCAACAATGTTTCGCGCCAGGCGTAAACTTTTGCGGCTGTGATCGCGAACACGGCTCGTCGGTGAAACGATACGGTTGGGGATACGTTTCGTTCGCCACAAAAGCTGCGCGATCCGAGTTGATCGAATTAGAATGGCACGTTTAATCGGCTGACGCGTATGCCAGCGCGAAACAATCGTGGGAAAAAGTCGAGCCTTCCTTGGATCCAAGTCTGGCATTTTAATTATTATTGCACGCTGGCATCTGCGAGCATTCTTTTCATTGCGTTAGGGTAATAGACGTTTGTAAAAGTAATCATTTGGATATAGTATAAGAACTTATCAACAAAATAAGAATTTTATTTCCTACAACAAAGAAATTGAAGTACCATTGACAATGAACTGATTTGTTCCAATTACTCGTTAAATAAAAATTTGTTTGGTGTTATTTTCGTACTATCGTGCTAATGTTCGTCGAAACATTTTTCATTCGTGGTATCGCAAAATATTTTCATATTACCAAGAGGCCGTAAAGCCGTGTCGCTGTAAACGTAGCTTCTTACTGCGACTTCACGAGTCATTCAATTTAATGAAAACAGTTTGTCGCGATAGCTGTTTGTATTTTTGCCGAACGTGAGATTAGAAATAGAACAAATTCATAGTGCTATACGACTTCAACGGTATCGTTGATATAGATATCGTGTGTACTCGTAAAATAAAATATTGAAAAGTGTGTACCTCGCCCAAGCGAGGGATTGGGAGTAAAGATATCGAACACCGAGGATTTTTGCGAAATTCAACACATGGCACGATGATATCATTGCTTTTTATATCATGCTCTATTTCCGCGATGCTTTCTCCGGTGTCGCGAAAGGGAGTCTTATCGGTCACGCTGATAAGGCGCTGACAGATAACTCTGCTGAATATCGGATCTTCCGCGGCAACGATTGCTATTTCAAGCGATTATTTCGCTGGCTTCGAGTTACGTTTCATACTTCAGTACTCGACGAAACGTAGCGTGGAATTTCATATAAATTAAATTAAAGTTTAAATTGCTTTATGTTTATATTATTCGTCGATCTGTTTTTAACGTACTAATCCACCATTAGTAATTTCGCGTGGCAATTTAAGAACACATACTTTCATCCAGGAATGTTATGGTCAGTGAATGAAACATTCGTGTTCGGTACTTTTCTTCAACGAGAGATGCTCTGTCTAGGATTTAAAAATTTTAAAACAGCATTAGCATGTCTGGAAGTTGAAAGATAAATTGGTTTTATTAAAGGTAAATTGAAGTTGCTCTCGCTACAGTTTCCACGGTGCAGGATTTTCCATTCCAGCGACAGTGTCAGAAACTGACGCAAAAACGTGATCCCGACGTGTTTAATAGTCACTCGAGGCTAATCAGGTTATCGCTTTTTCTCGCATTAACAACGACAAAGGCGCCATTAAATTTCTTAGTCCGCGATTCCCTTTCTTTGATCCCTTTAATACGCCCAACCTTCGATCTCGAAGAGTGTCTCTATTGAAAAAATTAATGAATCAACAGAAGGGCTTGCAACGTGTAAAAATGTAACGCAGCACTCGACAAGAAGTATTTAGTGACAATGATACCCTCAAGATATGTGAGTAAAGGCTGATGGGTATTATTTACAAGTAAAAGGTACAGATCTTGTTGGATTCTAGTATAAATACTAAAAGTTTTAAAATTGCAATTTGAAACAAATGTTTTATAGGGTACACTGGAGTCTAATATTTCAATTTGTTTGCATGCATTTAATGGTTTTACTGTTTCAATTGAAAGAATTCGCAGAAGAACTTCAATTTGAGAAAGAAAAAACATTGCTATTCCCTTGACTGTGATGGTGCTATAGTGCTCCTGTTTTCCTCGACAAATTAATGTTTCGTTCCTTCCTAATTGCACGGTTCGCGAATTTTTTCGATGAATGTGGAGAAAGTTCGATAAATAATAGAGAGGGAAGGCACGTGAATTCCGCGAATTTTTCAGGATTCTTTCAGCGCGCGAACATCGCGCGTGATTACGCGAACGAGCATCGAAATAATCCGCTTTTCCATAATGACGATCACGATTTTTACCGTTTTTCAGTCGCCTAATCCTCGATTTCCAGCTGAGTCTGGCCGACAGTCATTAATAGCTGGCGAAAAAAAACCCGCGCAAACGAGAACGATCGAAATTGAACCCGACGCTGAATGAAATTTGTATGTAACCGATTTTTTTTTACTATTATTACACTTTCGGTACGTTCTACGTTTGGATAAAGAGAATTGTCCTTTTCTAACCGATATGGGAATTTTAGAAGCATTGTTTAGGAATTTATTTTAACTTCACACTACACATTTTTTACGAAAAAAATCGATTTTGCTTTAATAAAATTTAACCTTTTTTTTGGATCTGTTGGTGTTAATTTCATAATTTTCCGATAGTTAAAAATGGAAAAGAAAATTGTTGGTAAAAAATTGTGTGAAAATTGATATAAAAAGTCATGTGATTCTTGTGGATTTTATTTATTATTTTTAGATTGAAATCACTAACAATACCAATTAGATTATTACGCACATATTGTACGGATAAATAATTGGTATTTCTCCTATTGGTGTGTAAGGAGCCTAAAATATAAACCGCCTTTTTTTGTTGTTTTTTTTTGCGTTTCCTAAAGAATCGTATTTTTTGATCTTTCGGTACCAATTACTCTGGCTACAGTTGACCTATCGAGTTCGGATTTTTTTTTGTTTGACGCAGAATCGAATTATGTACAAAACAGTGAAGGCGGTTTGTCAAAATTCTATTTAGTTAACAAAATAAAAAAAATTTTGTTGAAAGTCGTCCTGACTTTTTTTGAAAATGTTCTTGGAGAAAAAAAAACTCATCGCTGTTTTATAGTTTAGACTTTGTAGAGCAATCTAAAAAAAGGTTGGGTACGATCGGATAAGGCATATCTGTGAAAAGTGTACCGAAAGACGTCAAATTTTACTTAGTAATAAACAGCTGGTAGTGCCCTCCCTTAAGTAACGCGTGTATTTAACGCATTGGAGAATTTCGGTTTAATGAATGCTTGTGTTTTTATAGCGCAAAATGTTCTTTTTTATTTCGATGGTATTGGCGATGGTATTGGACGTGTAATGGATATATTTTACTTTGGATCGAGGTAATATAGAAAGGCATATTTTTTCTGCAAAAATTAGATGCCCTCTTATTATATGAAATAGTACATTCATGAATGTCTCCAATTTTTCGAACTTCTTGAAACTAAAATAGCAAAAAGTCCTCGCGTGTAAGAAGTGCGTAGAATCACTGGCATTAAATACTCTCTAAAACAATAATTTATTATTTCGCTCGACGATGAGGATATACAATCATTTTTGATAAGGGTAACACGGTTTCTTTTCCTCTCTTTCGGTATTTTCCCCGTTAATTAACCAGTGATTAATTATGGGCGAGGGTTTCCGATAAAAAGCTTCTCCCCCCGCGCGAAATTGCGGTGCGCTGGTCAGTCGAAACCGCAGGATTGTTTACCGCGGAGTTCTCCGTCTGTTTTTGAGCATTTTCAATCCGCGTAAGGATTTTTTTTCCTCCGGTCGGTGGGTTGCGTGATTTATCGCTCGGCGTACGCCACGGTTGCGTCTTTATCTTCAACGAGGATGCTTGTTTTGAGCGGACTATGGCGATTAATTTCTCTTAAACTTCGTATGCGACCGACGTTTCTGTTCCTGACGTTGACTGAGAATCGTACGAAAATTTGTGGAAACACTGGGGACATACAGATACGGTTTATATCTGGCAAGAGACTGTAACTAAATATAATAGTACACAGGGAGGTTTTGATCATTTTCTTCTTGGTAAATTTCAACGTGTGAGGTTTCTACGAGACCGAGCTGCAATTTTCTTAAATAATTTACTTAAAAGAAACAACTCAAATGACTTGTTTACAACAATAAAATTGTGATACTGAAATTCAAGTACAATGATCCGAGCAAAATTCCGTGCAACATTTCACCATATAAATCCACAATGACTTCGACTTTGAACCAATTCCGAACAACCATAAACGCGAATAATCGGATCAAAATCAAGTGTTCGCTCAAGGCTCTCGCATATTCGCGTAAATCTTTCGAGTAGATAGGCATGATTCACAGTGGCAGAAGTGGCTTTCAATGCCAAGTTGATTCCGACCCGAGTATAACCATCGAACACATTTTTAAACGATTAACTGTCGACTAACTCTAAATTACGATCGCGTTGGTTTCACAACCTAGACCTTCGCATTTTCACACCAGCGAAACTCCCGCGCGCATTTCGAGAATTCAGTCAGATACGCACTTCAATCCTAATCGATTTCCAATTCTAAGCCACTCGATCTCCTCCACGTCGTCTCGAACCCTTGACATTCATCCTCGACGCAGGGAAAGGTTCTTCCGTTCGCACGTACGATATACTTCGTATTTTCCAAACGATGGATATTTCGTTTCAATTATAGCGTGATTCGAGATCATTATGCGGACCGATTCGTGCCTCTCTTGAAGCTAAGAATCAAGATTAGAATTTAATTTAGAATGCTAACGAAAGTTCTCTAGATTAAAGTTAAAAAATAGTATATCTTTTCATTCGCCATATTTTCGAGTGAAATAGTAAACAAAGAAGCAATGGATCATAATAATCGACGCGCTAAAAAATCCTCGCTATAACAAAGATTGGATTAACCTCTACACTCGCATTTTAATTTGTTCAAACGTTTTGTTCCAGAGTTGAAATTGTAATTTTTTCATTCAACACGCAACAGATGAATAATTGTCAACCCTTCGCTCGGTATTTTTATTTATTCGAAATTGTCGTTTAGATAAAAATTTCGCCCGTCCCTATCACGGTACCGTTGCAAACGTTTGTCATTCACACTCCACGCACGAAAAGTTGGCGTACCTGCACGGTATCGCATGTGCTTCCCATGCATCGTGAAATTTCGTTTTAATTATAACGTGTTTCGAACCCCAGTTACTAAATAACTTTTGAAATTGCGAGCGTTGCACGACCGCGGGCAAGTTTAAGTTTCATTCTGTCTTTCATTCGCGGCGTGGCCACGTTCAAACGCGATTAATATTACTTTTTTTTTATTTTTAAATCCAGCTTGTTCCGTTGCGAATATAATGAAATTGCGAAAGC